AATTTCGACTTATTTGACGAGTGTACATCGAGTACATTTCGTAGCAAATTTTTAAGCTGAAGAAACAATAAAATATAAAAATTAAATCCAGCGATTCGTCTGAAAAATCAAGATTCAGAAGTTCTAACCTCATCAGATCTCCACGAATAGTCGTAAATAGCGATTATGGACTTTGTTGGGTCTACTTCGTCTGTCTCGCTTATTTCTGGAGAATGAAATAAGCGATTGGATAACATCTTTAGTAATCTACGCTTATCATATTTTGTTATCCGTTCATCGTCAAAACTATATAATCTCTTTGCCGCCTTAATTCGGCGGATTTTCTTCTAAAATACGTTATAATTTGAATAAAATTCAATACATAATCGGAATAAAATTCAGCATAATAATTATAAATCATTACTAACGTCGTGTACTCGATTGTTTGAGTGCACCCGATGTTTATTTTTATCGGCTTTTCCCCTATCCATTAATCTTTGATGAGAACGACGAGACTTGTGGAGACAACCCAACCATTTTGTAAGTTGCTTATTCGAAGCGGGAAAACACGGAGCAAAAGATGAACGCAATTCAAGGACTAGCTTACGACGAATCTTGAGATTTTTCGCGCTATTGAACGTTTCATTGTAATCTAGTCCTCGAGTTTCATCGATGGTTTTCAAAATAGACTTCATTTCAGCCTAAATATAACAATCAAATAATGATAACCGGTACTTANTCCTCGAGTTTCATCGATGGTTTTCAAAATAGACTTCATTTCAGCCTAAATATAACAATCAAATAATGATAACCGGTACTTAATTACTCAATACTGCAATTTTAAATAACTGAATCAGACAAATAAAATTAATATACCCTAGCTTCTTTTTCGTCGTACTCATCATTATTGTTAGAACCAGACCATTCTTCCTCCGATTATTCCTCGTATCGCTCGGACTTTTTTGTCTTAATTCTTTTTTGACGTTTTGCCGGCTGTTCGAGATCCATCTGCCTATGAATGGCTTTAGGCAGACGGATTCTCAAATACCTGTTTAAGCTTTCGAGTAGATCATCATTCTCGTCTGCAAAGGCCTCATTTATTCAAGTCAAAAAACGATTTTCATCGAATAATCGGTTATTTTCGCGTTGAAGCTTTGCATTCTCTACTTGTACTTCTTCAATTTGTTTCTTTAATTTTAGATTTTCTAAATAAAGAATTTTATTAATAGTAATATTTTTTTACGAATAATTCTGAATTTATACGAATGAAGTCAAAATCGTACCTGCTTCTAAATCAGTATCGTCGTCATCGATCATCCTTTCATTACCTTGATCGTCTTTAACCACTAATACGAATTTTTGTGGAATTCGAATATTTCCATATCGTTTTTTCATTTCCGATAACATCTCTTGTTGATCTATAAAAATTATTAATTATCGTACATTGTCACCCCCGTCTGCCACCCGGCGGTAAACAAAGTTCCCTGCTTCTGTTATATGTGCTCTCAGCGAAACATTAATATTCTTGCTTGGTTTAGTTTTATTACTACTTAACTTTCAAATTGCGATAGCTCTCGCCACGATATTTCATCCATTATCTTCTTTCAAAATACAATAGTTCTCTTTATAAAAGTTTATATTTTATTCATTTCATAATTCTTGTTATGACATTAAATTCACCATGAATTTGTCCAATTAAAATTAATTAAGCGAACATTACA